TGAACAATAAATTACTCTTTACATACTTTTGTTATAATAATAAGTTATTTTTATGATGCCAGCAAAGTGTCATGATACAGTATTGCTTTTGATTAACAATTTGCTTTTATCATGGTACTTTTTGATTGTGAATTGCAATAAAGATATAACATGCACAGGGTGTGATTGGAAATAGTAAATCTGCTTTAGTTAGCTCTCCAGCATTGTATGCTACCTGGTAGATAAAATTTGACAGTGCTATTCACTAAGAACAAATAAAAAACATGCAAACAAGAATATACTGACTATTAAACATAAGTTCATTAGTGATTATGTCCATCAATCATGATTGTAGCGATATCCATCAGTTATTTCTTTGATCTTGATAGCCTGGGCCATAAGCACCATCAGGTCCATAAGGACCTGAATATGGAACCTCAAATGGACCATGGTCTGGGCCATAGGGACCATTGTGGGGATCATATGGGCCACTGTATACCTCTTTGTTAATCTGGTCCTGACTTGGTATAAATCTACTCAAATATGAGTCATGCTTACCATCAGAAGGACTTGGTATTCTGATGTTACTGCTACTGGAAAAAGAAACCGAAACGATTGAAGCTGTGATGGCCAGTATCAATAAAGCAACTTGTAGCATACGAGCCATTTTGATAACCTGTATTATTAGTTTACTTATGATTGACTGATGAAGAAAGCATTCTTATATAGGGAGACATGGCATAGGTGTAAGAGACCATAATTTGGTCTTGATTTCAGAACTTACCTTGTTAGGAGACAAAGTTTGTACGGAAGTTTCAATTAGAGCTTTGAAGAAAACTTAATAAAGGTGATCTATTTGTCTATCTTCATCTTATCAGTCAAAATTATAGTCTAATTGTAAGACAACTCAATCTAGGTACAACAATGTACTTGCCACTACTGCTACTTCCCATAGAATATAACGCATGACTGATGAGTATCAAAGTTACAGTTGCTGTGATATGATTGCTAAGTTACAGTTGGTATGATACGTACGGTTGCAAAGTTACAGTTGTTATAATATGGTTGTCTAGTTACATTTGCTATGATATAGCTGCCAAGTTAGAGTTGCCAGGTTGCAGCCTCACGTCCAGCCCATTTAATTGATTTCAACGACACCTTATTATTGTGACTTAGTTCCTATTACTCAAAGACACTATAATGTCTTCAATGAAGTAACCTACAATAAACAATCAAATTAGTTTTGTTCTTCTTAAACAAAAGGATTAATAGTTATAGCATATACAAGATCCAAGGCATATCATAAATGAGAAAGCATATCTTAGCCAAACTTTTCATTATAACTTAGCTTACTTAGGTTATAGTTTGACACTGTATTTCATTTAAAATGACAATAAAATTATTCTTTTCTGATGTTATTATAATGTCCTACTTTATGCAAAAAGTTTTGCATGTCCCATAGCAACATTTAAATCCATTACCTATATTAGATTAGCATTGATAATATTTATTTTTCACAGGACCTCATTATTTAATTATATTATAATCATGTCAATGGTAATTATCCAGTGAATATACAAACTTTACTCATTGAAGTCCAATAAACAGGATAAACACCATCAAGTAAGACTAAGCTCTAGGTCTTAACAAGATAATCAGATAAACGGAGAGTGTTCTTATAAAAGCATCAACCCATAAAACAGATTCAACCTAAAAGATTGTCTTCAGCTATTTGGTCCAATACTAAAGAGTGTAGAGATGATTCGTATCTTTCTTGTAGTTCTCTTGGCACTAGCTGTCTCAACTGCAGTTGTGCCAGAAGTCACTAGTGATGATAGTGAGGTTGATCGTAATGTACGTAGCATTAAGAATCATAATTATGGCGGTGGATATGATGATGAGAATGATGATGATGATGATGACAATGATCAAGATGATGATGATAATGATAATGATCAAGATGATGATCAAAATGACAATGATGATGATGATGATGATGATCAAGACAAAGATGATTATTATGATGATGATCAAGATGACAATGATGATGATAAAGACAAGGATGGTGATGATCAAGATAACGATGATCAAGATGATGATGACAATAAAGATGATTATTATGGCGATAATCAAGACAAGGATGATGATGATCAAGATGACAACGATCAAGATGATGATGAAAATGATGACAATGACAATGATAAAAGTGGTTCCAAGTGCTTATATCAGTCATAAGGAAACTTTTATGAGTATCTGAACAATAATTCAATTCATATTTAATATTAATTGTAAAAAAGCTGAATATAATAATTTTTTGTCAAAATAATTGTACCAAGTTACAGTTTATGATACAGTTTGGGTGCAGACACAGGTCTGGCCTGGTAACAATCAATAAGCTAGGTGTGTTGGGATTGATGCTAGGTTAGAATAAACATAGATTAGGACAATACGAATTTAGTCTATACTTGAAGGACAGCCATTATTTAAGAAGCTGAGACACTTTGAGAATTATCATTTAAAGGTAGCAAAAAAATGGCCAAGCTAGTTCTCTCTCTTTTGCTCATTGCAATCACTTATGTTGCAGCAGATCCTTACCACTACAACAACTGCCCTAGACTAAGGAATCCAAACTATGGATATGTTACCATTGCCAATGCCAAAGCTCGGTATTACTGCAACTCAGGATATGGAATGTACTCAAACCGATATGGTCTCTATCCATTAGGATCATACTATCAACGCT